CACGTAAAGCTGTAACAGCTCGGGTCCGCCGCATGCGCTCCGTGAAGAAACGAGCGACTCTGCAAGGCCTTGCGCACTTCGCCTTGTGTAAAACCCACAAGGTTCTTCGCCAAAACGCTGCCCATCCGCCAGTCGTCCCAATTCCCCACCTTTCGCGGCGACCACCGACTCTTCCGGGACCACGGAGACGCGCCCTCCTTCACCTCCCGCAAATGCCGATACACCACGTCGTCTTCCCCTCCCCCCACCGCCTCCGGTTCCGCCTCCGGTTCGCGTCCCACCGCCTCCGGTTCCGCCTCCGGTTCGCGTCCCACCGGTTCCGGTTCCGCCTCCAGTTCGCGTCCCGCTTCGGACACACGCGCGTTCTCTAACAACCGCAGTTCCGAGGACGCAGTCTCAGTCTCGCACAACAGCTTGCTCGCATAGTCCACCATGCTCGTCGACATAATCTTGGTGAGCGTTACATAAATTCTCAACCAGCCCGGAAGCTCCGATCCCAAGTGGTCGTGGTCCGATCCCAAGTGGTCGTGGTCCTCCAAGTGGGATCGTTGGCCGGATTGGGGCCCTAGGTCGGGGAAAGCGAGGCCTTGGTCATCGAGTGGTGCGAGTTGGTCTTGGAGGAGGCCGGGTAGACGGGTGGGGAGTAAGTTGAGGTGTCGATGTGCACTGTCCGCGAAGTGTGAACGGAAGGCAATGCCATTTTGTCTGTAGAACTTGAGCAATGAAAGCCAGACGAAGCGCGCACTTGACTCCCAAGCGGCGCCGTCGTCGACTTGATAACGCTCAACCAGATCGGCCACAGCACGGCGTATGGACAGACCCAGGGCCCATAACAAATCCGCCTCCGTTAACTCTCGACGCACGCGTGTGTCCGCAAAATCGTTCCGGAAATACACATCCGGTGCAGGCGCCGGACCGGCACGAACACGACGACGCTTCCGCGCTGCCACCAACCGACTCCAACCTGTCTCACCACTCTTGTCCCCCGTATATTCAAACAAAACGTCCTCTTCATCCCTCTCTGTAGCACGCACATTCTCAACCACCGTACCACATGCAGCACACACGTAGAAACCTGCCGCGTCACGCTGCACACGCGTAGACCGACAGTGCCCACAACGCAACTCCGACATCCCCCGTGGAATTTCCCCGTGGAATTTCGCACAATTTCCGGAAGGGATTCCACTCGAATTTTCGACGAACACAATTCCGACGAAGCCAACTACAGAAACCCCCCAAGGGAACACGAACATGGACTCGAATATCACCGGCAACGGCACCAGCGGTAGTGGCCCTACTGGCAGTGGTTCTCGGACGGTGGAGCCTAAGCGGACCGATGCGGCTGACTCGGGTCCAGGGCCGGAGGGTCAAGGTACTCCTGGGACACCTGGGGACGGAAAGCGGTCGGGTTCCCGACGTGGTCGCGGCGGCGGTTATCGCGGGCGTGGGGGTCGCTACTTCCGTCGACCGGGCGGACGGGCTGGCGCGACGGGAAACACTCAAGGTAGTGTGGGCGTCGAAGAGACTGTCGGTTCAGATGCCAGTTCGGGTGGCACCGGCGCTCCTGGGTCCACTCCCAGTCCTGCCACGGCGCTGGGGACGGGCGCTGCCGGAGAGGAGGGGCGTAAGACGAGTCGTGTGTCCCAGTCGTCGTCTGGAGGAGGACCGAAGCACCGAACGCCCAAGGCGGAATGGCGACGGCCTGGAACGAAACCAGGTGCTGAGGGGAAGACACTAAAGCCGGGTGCGGAGGGGGGGAAGACGCACCGAAGACAGAATTCGAAAAATAGCGAGAGCACGCCTAGTCAGTTACGCGGAAAAGAGCGTGCATTAAATCGACGCGGTATGTTCGTCGGAAGTGACTATGCCGATCGACGCCATTTCAGCATCATCCAGGAGGATCCTGCTGCACTCGAGAAGGTGCGTGCAGAGGTCGGAGACGTCCGCGGCAAAGCGACCAAGACAATCTCTGACGAGCTACCCGCCAGCCACAGACGACATCCCGGTCGCTATAGCCACGATGGTCGTTACAGCCACGAGAGCGGACGTTATGCGGACGTTGGACGATATAGTCACGAAGGCGGTCGATATCCGGACGCCGCGATGTACCACTCGAGCGGGAGTTTAGGCAGCGCGACGGGGCGGTCTGCGCTGGACGCGGCTTACCCGGGACGGCGGCGTCGTGTGCACCTGCAGTCTGCGGACCTCTTCGAGTTCTTTTCGCCCGTGCAGAAGGACCGAATGAACATGGTGCCGACGCGGCCGCGAGCATTTTTGGGCCGTCGCACACGTGTGTGCGAGACGAGTATCGACGGCCTGGTGCAGCAGGACGCTGCGGATTTGGCGGCGCACTTTCCGAACATTTACGGACAGCCGGTTTTGGAGATCCAGGAGACCTCCAGTCCGCTGAGCACGCCGCCGACAGGTACGGCCGTGGCGAGTCCAGGAGGTTCCGCCAGTCCTCGGAGCGCAACTGTGGACATGGACGCGGCCGCGGCGCATCGTACACGGAGCGATTTGGAAAGTCCGTTGACGATTGGGTTAGTACTGTCAGGTGGGCCGGCACCGGGTGGACACAATGTCATAGCTGGTGTGTATGACTACATCAAGACTTTAAATCCTGACTCACGATTGATTGGCTTCAAGGGAGGTTTAGATGGTTTATTCCGGAGTGAGTACATTGAGATTTATGATGAGCTGATGAACCGGTTCCGTAATACGGGTGGATTTGACATGATCTGGTCTGGTCGTGGGAAGATAACGGATGCGGAGAAGCCGGCGGTGAAGGAGTTGGTGGTAGAATTAGGTTTGCAGGGTTTGATAGTTGTGGGTGGTGATGGTAGTAACAGTAATGCTGCGTTGCTGGCTGAGTATGTTGGCGCAACACAGTTGCCGTGTAGCGTGATAGGTGTGCCCAAGACCATAGATGGTGACTTGAAGAACGCTGCCGTTGAATGCTCATTCGGCTTCGATACGGCTGCGAAGACTTACTCGGAGTCAATAGGTAACCTATGTGTAGACTGCAGTGTCGGGCAGGGAGTCTGGCACTTCGTACGTGTCATGGGACGCTCGGCAAGTCACCTGGTGTTGGAATGCGCGATGCAAACACGACCCAACTTAGTGTTCATCGGAGAGGAAGTTGAACGCAACCATACCAGTCTGAAACAAATAGTGACGGAGATCGCAGACCTGATTGAAAAAAGATGGGCCCAAGGTAAACCTTACGGTGTCGTTCTCGTACCCGAAGGACTTGTTGGTTTCATTCCTGAGGTTAAACAATTAATCTCGGACTTGGGCAAAGTTGACCCTAGCAAAATGAAGCCACCTTCACCCCCCCTTCTCACCACCGGTACCGGTACCGGTACCGGTACTGGTACCGGTACTGGTATCGGTAGTGGTGTCGGTAGTGGTAGCAGTCCCCGTGCTCAGAGGCTACAAGTTCAGGATGCGGAAGGTCCTAGTCCGCTGGTCCCGGGTATTTCGAGTAGCAGTCCGGCAGTGGTGTCTTCAAAGGAGAGAATTCCATCGATGGCAGCCGTGGCGGTAGGAGGGAGGTCTGGGGCAGGTGGTGCACCAGTGTTAGCAGCTACGACGACAGTGGACGGAGCAAGTTTGGGATTAGAAGGCGAGTCGTGTGCATTATGGGATTTTCTGCCGGGTACAATTAGAGAGCAATTGATGAACGATCGAGAGGCTACGGGCTATATTCAGGAGGCTAAGATAGCAACGGAGCGTTTGTTAATATTGAGTGTTGAAGATGTATTACGACAACGAGGTTTTCCTGTTAAGATGTGGAATCGAATGCATCATTATTTTGGTTATGAAGGACGTTGTGCAATGCCATCAAATTTCGATGCTAATTACTGTTATGCGTTGGGTATGACAGCGGCTTGTTTAGTTCACAAGAGTAAGAATGGTTACATGGCAGTGGTTAAGAATTTGAATGAGCATGCAACACATTGGCAACCGATAGGAGTACCGTTTACTAAGCTGATGAAAATGCTTGATCTACCCATGGGTCGTATACCGGGAATTATTCGTCAATTGGTTGACCTTGATTCTAAGTCCTTTCAAGTATTTAGTTCTGTTAGAGAAGAATGGAAGCATGGAGATTTCTATAGGTGTCCAGGTCCGATACAGTTTGTTGGGCCGGTAGCTGATATTAGTAACTATGTTGTATGTCCTCCTGATGTGGATGATTTACTGGCAGGTAAAGGTGATAAGTTCCGGGCATTACGTCTTAAAGGTCGTGCGGTAACACCTAAGCGTCTAGGTTGTTATAGTTTGTTACAACGTGAACGTCTTCAATTTCTACCACAGACACCACCAGCATGTCAATCACTTAATTGTTTGTTCCAACGAGGGATTCAACATACACCTAAGGACCCTTACATACGACGACAGATTCTAATTTATTGTCACTCACTTTGTAGTAACAATGAGTTCTACCTTCAGGAAATTAAACCTGGTCCTACTGGTCTTCAGGATACCTCAGATTTAGGGATCAGTAACATTCCCGATACTCAAAATACTACTGGTAGCAAACATCGACGGTCTATTAATGGTGCCGCGATAGCACCACTTACGGTCGGAGTTGTTTTCCTATCGCGTCAAGCACCTGGTATGCAAAACATACTATGGGGCGCATATGTTCGTTCGCGTATCAACGGTGGTAGATGTCTAGGCTTCAAAGGTGTAGAAGGATTATTGAGTAAGGATTATATCGAAATTAGTGAGACGGATTTGGAATTATTCAAGAATCAAGGTGGTACAGATTTATTAGGACGTGCTATCGAACACGTGTTAATGGTACCTGAAAAACGTGAGATAGTATTACGTATAGTAACTGAATTAGATCTTGATGGATTAATATTAGTAGGATCATCATTAGCTATGACTGAAGCAAGTTATCTGGCTGAATTCCTATTGAATAGTAATGCTAAATGTAAAGTTATTGGTGTACCGGCTACTGCTTCAAACAATCTAGGTCATGATCTTATAGAATCAAATATAGGCTTCGATACAGCTAGCAAGTTATATTCATCACTTATTGGTAATGTATTAACTGATGCTGCATCAATGCCTAAGTACTGGCATTTCGTACGTCTTATGGGTCGTCAGCCATCAAATGAAGTATTGGAATGCGCTCTTCAAACACATCCGAATATAGTCATAGTAGCTGAGGAGTATGGAGCTGCACAAAAAACATTACAACAGGTTGTACAGGATATAGCAGATGTTGTTGTTAAACGTACAGAAACCGAGGGTCAATGTCGTAACTTTGGTGCTGTTATCATTCCCGATGGACTTTGGCATCACTTACCTACATTCCGATTGATGCTTTCCGACGTCGATCGAGTTATATCAGACGCTGTTCGTGAGGGAACCGATAAGGAAGCTAAAGAAGAATTGTTATGTGACCTACCAGGTGTCTGGACAGAGGCATTACCACCTTGGTCCCTAGCTGTCTGGCGTAGTCTACCACGCTACATTAGAGAAGAGTTCTTAACAAGTGATTCTGAGCTAAGACTCAGTTTTGTTGAAACTGAAATGCTCCTTTCTGAAATGGTTTCTGCAGAGCTTAAACAACGTAAACAACGAGGTGAATATAAAGGACTCTTCCAATGCGTCTGTCATTATTTCGGCTATCAGGGAAGATCTGCAATGCCAAGTGTGTTTGATGCTACTCTTGGCTTTGTACATGGTCATCTAGCTGTTATGTGTCTTGAGGCAAATCTCACCGGTCACCTTACCACAATTCGAGGTCTTTGTGAAAAAGTTGAAAATTGGAAATTAGGAGCCGTTCCATTTAACTGTCTATTAACACTAGTTCCTACACAACAAGATGCATCACTCCATCCTCAATTACTCGATCGAAAGGAATCAGATATGCCCGTTATGCCTAATGCTGAGATTAATCTAAATGGTAAAGCATTTCGCTGGCTAAAAATCGCTAGACCCAGCTGGGAAATGCAAGATCGATTCTGTAATCCTGGACCTATCCAATTCTGGGGCACCCCCTCCACCTTCTACCATCGAATTCTACATGAAGAACAATCAGAGTATAGCCGAATGCTCCGACACACACAAAAATACGCACAAATGGTCAAAGACGCCTGCGAGTAATCACACACTTTCACACACTTTCACACACTTTCACACACACATATATTTTCTTACCATGTTTAGCTTTGGAGTCGAAGAGGACTTCTTAAAATTTGCGTTCACATCACTTCATGGACTATTATTCTTACGACATCATCAAGACTCTTTAGTGGAGGACATCGGTCGGATTCGGCCAAGGCATTATGATGATATTCGCGATGATGATTCCACATCAAGTGATGCGGAGCATGGCGTGATGTTTTAACCATCATAATTATGTATGATTATTAATCAGATATTTTATCAGTTAAAAACACAGTCAAAAGATATAGTTAAAGATGTTGTTAGTATGGGGAAAGGTAGATACAAAAAAAACAACACCCCTTTCATAAAGTATGAGGACTAAAGTTTGGCCCACAGAATGCCCACCAAGACGGAACAAGTTGATGGTACTTAAAGGACCTAC